AGTGGGGCGGTTTGAATGGGAGTTCTGAGGCGGTCTGAAGGGGCGGTGGTGAGAAGGTGGGGAGGGGGATTTAGATAAAATTGTTTGAGTGGGAGCAAAATCTGCAGGAGAGGGGTTACTGTAGTGGCTGGAATGTGGGGCACTTTGGATAGAAGTTTTGAGACGGTCTGAAGGAGCGGTTTCCATCGTTCATTTATAATGTGGAGGCTGTAGAAAAGTGCATCTACGGTCTTTGCACTCAGAACTCCTCTTTACAGGTTCCATTGAGAATATGACATCAGTTTATGGCAAAATAACAAAGTCGATTTTTTTGGCATTTTCCCATTTTTGGAGTAATTTTTCTACGGAACCTAAAGAGGCGGCAGCGAGGCACTCTACTGTCTTAGACTACTCTTTGTATTCTGCGAGGCTGTTATGGCACACCTTATCAAAGATCAACGTTCTTCCTCGATATGTCTCCAAACTTCGCTTCTCGTCACACCCGAATCACAAAATCATGTTTTTCCTCCTTGCCGCTTGGATTTTTGCAATTAAGTTGTATACTGTTAGATTCTCCGTAAAAAGTGCTTATGATTGTTTTTCCTCCAGTGGAAAGGGAAAAACGTTGTTTTATATTTAGGCTTGACGAGAAGCGAAGTTTGGAGCCATACCGAGGGAGAACTGTTGATCTTTGATAAGGTGTACCATAACAGCCTCGTAGAATACAAAGAGTAGTTTACGACAGTAGAGTGCCTCGCTGCCGCCTAATCAGGTTCCGTGGAAAAACTCCTCCGAAAATTGAAAAATGTCGAAAAATCGAATCCGTTATTTAGCCGTAAACTGATGTCATATTCTCAATGGAACCTGTAAAGAGGAGTTCTGAGTGCAAAGACCGTAGATGCACTTTTCTACAGCCTCCACATTATAAATGAACGATGGAAACCGCTCCTTCAGACCGTCTCAAAACTTCTATCCAAAGTGCCCCACATTCCCGCCACTACAGTAACCCCTCTCCTGCAGATTTTGCTCCCACTCAAACAATTTTATCTAAATCCCCCTCCCCACCTTCTCACCACCGCCCCTTCAGACCGCCTCAGAACTCCCATTCAAACCGCCCCACTTTCCCGCCACTACAGTACTCCGCCCCTGCAGATCTTACCCCACTAAAGTAATCATCAATCGATCCAACCCCCTTCTCGCCTCTTCAGTACCCCCACCAGCAGATCTAATCCCCATTCAAATGATTATCATTCGATAGCCTCCAAACTCCCGCCACCACAGTACTCCGTCCCCTGTGGATCTTACCCACACTAAAGTAATCATTAATCGATCCAATCCCCTTCTCGCCACTTCAGTACCCCGCCACCTGCAGATCTAAACCCCCATTCAAATAATTGCCATTCGGAAGCCTCCAAAATCCCGTCACTACAGTACGCGGGGCATGCGTATCCAAACACGCCCTGCAGGAAACCGCTCAGAGAAAGGCCCAGAGCAGAAAATGGTTGTGGATGGAGGTTTTCGTCACGGGTTGACCTATATATCATTCGATAGCATTTTTCACGTGCAAACCAACAGTGTATAACTCAGTTACAAAAAGGCCAGCGGAAAGGGAAAAAACATTGTTTTATGATTTGGGCTTGACGAAGTTCGAAGTTTGGGGCCATACCAAGGGAGAAATTTCGATCTATGATAGGATGTACCATGACAGTTTTGCAGTCAACAAAGAGATGTCTACGACAGTGGAGTGCCTAAACGCCATCTCCTCAGATTCCGTAGAAAAACTCCAAAATGGGAAAATGCCAAAAAAAATCGACTTTGTTATTTTGCCGTAAATTGATGTCATATTCTCAATGGAACCCGTAAAGAGGAGTGTTGAGTGAGAGACCGTAGATGCACTTATCTACGGCCTTCAAACCAAAAAAGGAACAATGGAGACTGAACAAAACCAGTAATCATTTTCACATTGTACTGAGTAAAGTCGAGTACGTGGCGCAATCCAAAGCGAATTCCGGACACGTGATCTTCAGGGACCAATCAGCCCCTACAAGCACTAAAGCGTGGACCCCATGTGCATGCAATCACTTTTCGGATGCAGCTCAAGTGCATGGTGCAATCTAAAACAAAGCATTTTCAACATTTTAGGGTATCATCTTGTAGAGCTCGATGAGCTGAGTTCAACAGTATTTTATTCTCCTCGATTAATTTATTCTGAAGCGATTTATAAAGAAGACGAAAAAGACGCGAACTCGCGGTATTCTCGTAAATTTTTGAGTTCTTATGGCGAGTTCTGTAGTAGGATTGTATACAGTGACGCTAAAAAGTGTTCCGCCAAACCACTTCATTCTAGATCTACTCTTTCAAAATTACAGTGACGTAGCATGGGTGCACTGTGACTGTTTACCACTATCAACCTCCAATCTGGTCATGTTCCAGATATCCCAAAGAATTGGAACTCGAAATGAACTGGAAATACAAATACCGGTCCTTCTAGGATTCATTTTCTCCGACATGTCCAAAGTGTACGAACGCTAGTGCCAAACACAGTGAAAGAGGACAATGCACATAAGGTGCAAATGGTTGCAGACGTCGCTAACTTTGCTTTCAGCGAAGTCTGTTACCGCGAAAACACTTTGCTCTTAGTTATGTGGGTGTTGCTGCGCTGTAGTCAAATAGTGTTGGAGAACGTGAAATATGCTTTCGTTGATCATATCAAAACTTCGCGTGAATTGCTCCATCAAAAAAGTTCAGCCCGAGAAAGAGTGAAAGTGTTTGGCCGAAGACTTTTGCGCATTCCTGTATAACGCGATCATGTCTGTGTGCTTGTGCATTTAGGTGTGTGTGTGCAAGTGTGTGTGTTCGATCGGAAATTCATAATTCCTGTTCCCGTGGGCCCAGTGAGTACATACATGGTAGGAGTACAGGAGGTAGGATGGGAACAGTTATGGTGGGTGACCACGGCCACAGGGGGCGGCTTTGCGCGAAATATATGTTAGCGCGGATTCATAACTCCTTTTCCAGTGGACATGGAGTGTTGAAAATTGAGAGGAATAGAGGAAATAGGTTGGGAACACTGACGACAGAAGAGGCCTTAAAGCGAGGACCACTCATCAATTAAATCCTAGCGCCTCTGCTATTTACGATCTAGCTTTGACTCTTCGATATGTTTCATTCGACAGGAAGGGTAAGTGCAGTGCTAAAGATCGATCAAGGATACCAAAATATAAGGAGACAAAATTGGTTCACTTACTGCTATTAGATTACGATCGCTACCCAGCGAAGTTTGTGACTAAACGAAGGGTCTCGATTACTTTGGTTTCGTTATCATTCTTGGCAAGACTTAAGAAAGGAAGCATCGGCGATAAAGAAACCTGATAATGGTGTTATTATGAATCGACAGCATTCGTGAGAACCATTCGAGTCTTTGGTAGCTTTTCAGTCGGGCATTCAATAGGTCATTGACTCTCTTACGTATAAAGCAGAAACTTGGTGTGCCGGTTAGCCGATTTAGGTGTTTATTATTGTTGGTGTGTTGGTCTGCTCGTGGGCAAAACTTTATGATTACACTAAAGACAGTTATATGGAAAATCCAGCTCTCACATTTCCTTCTTATATATGAAGCAGTAAATTGGTGGGTAGGTTGATGGAGTGGAGCGAGTGCTGCGCAACGTAGTGACTAATGTGCAGTTAGGTGGTAATCGAACTGTCATTTCGGTTTGCACTGTAATCGTGCTATGTACGTCTGTGCAAAAATAGGAGGTGATTATATATTGGTAGACCTCTGCTTGTTTTCAACATTGAGCGCTGGAGCGCAATAAAGAGTTTAGCCCATACTTGTGCTCCGGATTGTTTCTTAGTCGGGAACTTACATTTCTTTGACCTAAGCTTCAGGAGGAAAGGAGCACCGGGGTGGGTGATCCAATAGAATATTCAAATGATACCCCGTCCTAGCTTTGTGCACGAGGAAATCATCTCATCCCAACCCCACCGCTCCTCCCCGGTTGAGGCTCAGGTAAAAACTATATTCTTTCACCTATAACCAGCTCGAAGCACAGGTAAGGCCTAGAACCAGTTTGAAGCGATCGACTGCCCTTCCTTCTATGCACTTAAGCCCTCAGTGTTGACAATTGAATAATAGCAAGACCCATCCACCCCTTCCTCCCCCCTAACTACATTTTCTAAGAACATACTTCGTAAATGTAAGGGATAAGGCCCAATGTAAGGAGCGGCTGAATTGCCGATTATCACAAACCTGTCATAGGAAAGGAAAGCCCGACGTTAGCCGGTAGCGCAATATATAAAGATTAGCAATAACCTACTCGACAACGTCCACTTCTTGAATTGGCTCGGAAATCTTGGGCGTCAAAACCCAAACGGTCATAGTTGAGGATCACGTATGACAAACGTCCTGGTTGATCGGTAAGCCAAATGGCCTGAACATTATTAACATTTGGGATATCAGCCGGTATGTGATTTTTCTAGCTCTGGGACTAGATTTCGGTTACTTTGAAACAAGCCGACGATTATATCCCCTCGCATGAACAAAGCTGATGATCAAGTGCCTGAATATCACGCTGAACTACTGGATCACCGGATCGCCGCTGCGATGAATGGAATCACAAAAACAACTCCTTTTAAACCACACATGTATTTAGGATTTCTATCTAGGCGAATCGGTTCCGTCCCGAAGGGCAACGGAGGTCATCTACGACTTCTAATCTGATCTCTTCGACAGCCACGTCTACCTGTCTACTTGCCAGCTTGGGCAAAACAGATATTTCATCCCTACAGTTCTCCCTTCCGAAATTCGACATGCCATCACGTCGGTGAGGAATGGTACAGCACACGCTCCCACAGAATCGAAACAGAACATCTAGAGAGCTTCCCACCAGCCAATGTCAAAACCCTGACTACGCCTTTCACGCGGAACCTGTCGGCATGAAAAGTGCCTACTTCGTAGAAAACAAGCAAGACCATGTTGTTGTATAAGAAAAGAGGTCCAGACGACAATGACAATTAACGCCCAATTCGCCTGCTGTCTGTAACCTATAAACTCTTCACCCGAGTCATCCTTGACAGGATTTGCAGAATATTAGATGAAGTACAGCCACGCGAAAAAGCAGGGTTTCGGAGAGGGAGGGTTCAGTGCAATCGGTCACATCCACACCGTTACAAGACTCATTGAAGTAACGCGAGAATACAAAACGCCGTCATAGGTTTTCTTCGAATAGATGAACGAAAAATTTGATACCGACGAGACAGAAGCAGTAATTGAAGCCGTGGGCAACCAGGGTGTCCCTAATCAATATATAAGGATGCTTCGTCAGCTCTACAACAAATTCACGACCAGGATCTCGCCATTCTATAAAGAAGTTTCCATTAACATGAAGAGAAGGGATTGACAGGGCGATCATCTAGCCTAAAATTCTCAGTGCCGCCCTCGAGAATAACATACGTCATTGGGATGGGAAGACTTGGGAGTGACTTGGGACGTCGACGGCCGCTACTTACATCATCTTCGCTTTGCAGATGACATCGTGCTTATAACACTGAACATCGAGCAGGTTTAAAAAATGTTGGCCGAATTCGACAACGCTTTTGGTAAGCTCGGTTTAGAAATGAACTTAGCGAAAACGATGTTCATGAGAAACGGACCGGTGACTGATGCTCCCTTTCGCTGAATGTAATCAATATATCTGAATGCTCTAGCTATGAGTATCTGCGTCGGGAAGTCAACATGATGAACGACTCAGGACAAACGCGCGGCGCGGGAGCATTTAGGAACATCGAGGGAGTAGTGAAGAAGACGCAGAACATCCGTCTCCGCGCTCACCTTTTTGATACTGCGGTTCTTCCTGCTTTGACATACGCATCAGAGACTTGAAATCTACGAAAGCAGGAAGGATGTGCAGTTAGTGCAATTCAAGCGCTGGGGAGAGGACTATGCTCAGAGTTTCCCTATGAAGGCAAGTGCAGAAGGAATCCGGAGTTCCGAGCTCTGCCAGCGAACGAAAATCAGGGATCGTTAAATACGCCAAGAAATCGAAAATCAGATGGGCCGGGCACCTCGTGCGATATAATGATAACCGTTCGACCAGGGCGGTTACGGACTGGATCCCTCGGGAAGTCAAACGAACACCAGGACGACCGCCGGCCCGATAGCCAAACTTGTTCACGAAAACTCTAAAGGAATGTATTGTCCTGTGTCCCTCGAGCGAGTACGGTTCATTGGACTACTCTACTCCCATACCTACACTTCGCGTTTACCAGTATCACACACTTGTGACTCTGTCTGCATTCTTAATGTTTTTTCCATAACTTGCATCCGTCAATGATCTATTGTTTTTACTCTTCTAATTAACTCATCATGCATGCAACAAATAAGTGAAAAAAGGGGGTGACAACCAAGCAAAAGAGAAAATACCTGATAGGTAGCACTCTGCCCGGCATCGATATCCGACCTGCCCGCAATGGCAGAAGCGGTGTTGTGCCAAGTGACGACAAGCGCTGCATCCGCACGAAACATCGAAGCACCAGCGACGCCCTCTAAAAAAATTCTTCAGAAACGCATTACAACTCAGAATTTTTTCCAGTAAAGGTTTGAACGAAATGGGGCTTGTAGCATCCGCTGGGGAGTCCACACCTTGCAGCCATCTCATCATTTCATCGAGAAAATAGTCGCTTTGAGCATCGCAGCGAGCGTAAGACTCCGGCGTTCCCGGGCAAGCCTGAATTCAGAGTAAATAAATCTGTGTATGAAAGGCGCGAGCAATATGTGTTTATAAACTAACCAGTTCAGCTCTCTGACCAAAAAAACTGCTCCGCTGCATTGAGCCAACTGGAATGACACCGCCATAAGACCAAATTAGAAAACTAACACTCGCCAAGGTGAAAACTCAATAGATCCCACCAAGATTCAAGTTCGAGTTAGAGTCTTGTCCGAACAGTGATTGCCGCAGAATGAGCCGGTAGAAAATGCCTGCACGCAATGCAGGATTACCGCTTTGAGGTATCTGAATGATTAAAATTTGTTTATCTTTTATAGGTTGATTCAAGTCGCACCTGTTGTTTGCAGAGATAGGGTGCAATCATGGCGGGATCCTGTTGACGAGGCCAGTCCGTGCTTTCGGGTCCCACATTGATCGTAGGACCTTGGTCGAGCACTGTGGCGAAACCAAGATAGCCATTAACGGAAATCTGCAAAGGAATGAAGACTAATTGACCGTTCTACTAAGGAGGATATCAATTTTCGAATCTATGAAGTGTGACTCGACTAGCGAGCCACTAATTCATGGTTGGCTAAGATGGGTAATCGGAATGGTATCACCCCTCAGAGCAGACTTTCCTTATACCGCATGGCTAAGAGCAGCTCCAACAAATATTAACTAAGGCCTAGAACTATAATAAATATTCTCAGTTCATAATGAATTGCTAATTAGTCCAGGGATCAGTCTCACCTTCTAGGTCTTGGTAATTACCAAAATCTTCCCTTTTCTCGGCCCACCTATTTCTTTATTTTCCAATTCAACGATGAAACGGTGAGAAATGAGAAATAAGAGACGTACAGTCAATAATTCAGCACGACATGGAATTCACATCTACAAGAGGGAGTCCTAGGAAACGAATTCGCGTGAATTACTCCAGACCTTCTCGCATTCACATTACGAGTCCTTCACCTAGATTGGGCACTGAGACTTAATATGAGCTATTATAATACACCAGTCGGGCCGCCCGGCTAACGCCGGGCTTCCCTCCTTCTCATGGGTTCGCCCGGCTACGCCGGGCGCTCCTCCTTCCTGTGAGAAATTTGCTATGCGTAAATAACACTTCGGATTCTCCTTTTTCTTTGAAAGCTCTACACCCTCAGTATTAGCTCCGAATCAGGAGCGATTTTTTCTGTAAGCCATCTTCGCTGTGTCCGAATAGAACATCGCATAACATCACAAATGCGATTATTCAGAAAAAAAGTATTCAGATACTCCATCGCGGCTGAGTCTACTATGTTAGCTACCATCAATGTTCCCAGCCGACTCCTTACGTCCTCGAGTTTCAACGGTCTGGGTCCGAATCAATAGTATTTATTCACGCCCAGCCCTTTAAGGCGGAGTTTAGCCTTGCAACCTTCCATCGATGTCCCTATCCTGCCTCCTGTATTCTTTCAAGTTTGGTCGCTCTAGGTCCATTTTGACATTTCTCTGCAAGCCCCGCCCCCTGAAGGAGTTATGAATTTCCGGCCAAACTGTGGGCGGAGTCCGGTCCTGCCACCAACTATTAGTGTTCCCATCCTGCCGCCTGTACTCCTACCAAATTTGAACGCTCTAGGTCCACAGGAACAGGAGCTATGAATTTCTGCCCAAACCCCGCCCATTGTGGGCGGAGCTCAACCCTGCTACCCATTATAGGCGTGTCCATCCTATCTTGGGTAATCTTACCAAACTTGGACGCTCTAGGTCCACGAGAACGCAGCTACGATTTTCCGCACAAACCCCGCCCCTTGTGGGCGGAGTCCGGTCCTGCCACCCAACATAAGTGTTCCCATGCAGCAGCCTGTACCTCTACCAAATTTGAACGCTATATGTCCAAGTTTAAGTTTTTCGCACAAACCCCGCCCCCTGTGTTCGGAGTCCGGCCCCGTCGCCCACCATGAGTGCTCTTATCCTGCCTCCTGTGCTCATGCCAAATTTGAACCTAATAGGTCCACGGGGACTGCAGTTATAATTTTCCGCACAAACCCCGCCCCCTGTGGGTGGAGTCCGGCTCCGCTACCCAACATAAGTGTTCCCATACTGCAGCCTGTACTCCTACCTAATTTGAACTCCCTAGGTCTACTGGAACCCGAGTTATGACCTCCCGGTCAAGCATTTATTTC